GTCTTGCCTCCCAAAGCAGCTAATCAGGGGTCGTTTCGTAGAAAAAGAACTAGGGGAACTCATTAGCATAACTCATTAGCATATGCCACACCCACTGACATCACCAGAAGTGTGTCATAAGGCCACACCCCCTGACATCACCGGAAGTGTGTCATAAGGCCACACCCCCCGCCCCCAATGGTCCCGGCAGCCGCCGCTGGCCTTGCAGCTCCACTGCTGAGCCCCATGAGGGGCCTGGCGGTGGACCTGCAAGGCCGGCGGGAGTGCAAGGAAGCCCCGTGAAGGCCCTCCCTGGCCCCAGGCAGGCAGGGGTTGGGAGCAGCAGGGAGGAAGCAACTTACCCTCCCTCTTCTCCTGCCTCCTCCTGGCTGAATGAGGGCCGGAAGTGGGGCGGCCGGAAGCAGGGGGCGGGGCTTCGTCATGTGCCCCGCTCCCTACCTCACCCGGGGGAACTGCGATCCTCCGCGATCCCCCCCGAAATGACCTCTGCAGCTAATACTGAGCCGTGGCTGATGCCTGCCCTATCCACGGTCCTCCTTGTAAGGTGCATTCAAAGACTCCCTCCTAAAGGTTTCTGCCTTTCGGTTTGTTTTTCCTGTTTCAGTCCGGCTGTAATTAAGTAGCAGAAGCATGCTAATGGCACGCACCTTGTTTGTGGTGTAGCTGTCCCAAATGATAAGCTTGCCATCCTGTGATGCACTAACGAGAAGCCTGGAAAGGGGCGGGGGGGGGAGGAAAAAGACAAGAGATGATGAGGTAAAGAAAACACATGTCAGATGGACACTAAGATAAAGCACTGGTTTCAGTTAGAAGCCTTAAGCTCTGTCTCTCTAAAGATTTTGGTATGTATTCCTTTAAATCATTCGTATGGCATTTTTTCATATGGAAAAAAAAAAGCTCTCCTGTCTCTGTTCTGCGGTGTCGTCACTACATTAAGTAGCTGGAATCAATGCTCCCTCTAAGGTGTGGAGTCTTGTGAGCAAAATTCTACTTTGTGCGCTACTGGGATTAAAGGCGAGCGATTTGGCTACTGCATCAGTTAGTTTGCTCTGGAGCCGTCCTTCCTGAGCGAAGACAAAAAATGTGTGAGCTGGAGGCTAAAAAACGGAGCTGGCTCACACTAACTCAGCTTAGAGGGAACACTGGCTGGAATCCGTGTTCCACAAATGGGGAAACCAGGACAGTGGCCCATATCCTGCTATTCCATGCTCCGAACACAGAATTGCCTTGATTTTTCCTCTGTTCCTGCTGCCCCTCCCAACCCCTGGAAAGATCATTCCCATATTGTTGTAACCAGTGTTCCCTCTAAGCTGAGTTAGTGTGAGCTGGCTCACAGTTTTTTAGCCTCCAGCTCACACTTTCTTTGTCTCAGCTCAGGAACGATGGGGCTCCAGAGCAAACTGATTTATGCAGTAGCCAAATTGCTCGCTCACTACTTTAATGCCAGGAGCTCACCAAGTAGAATTTTTGCTCACAAGTCTCCCTAGCTTAGAGGGAACATTGGTTGTAACCCGCCCTGAGCCTTGCGGTGCAATGGAGGGCGGACCGGAAATCAAATCAAATCAAATCAAATCAAAGCTGCACGGAAGGACGAGGGGGTGAAACCACTCCTCCTTCCTGTTCCACAGAGGACGGGGGTCAGTTTCGTCCCCATGACTCTACTTCTCTACAGCCCACGGACCAGGCCCTTTGGTCCTCCAACAGGGATACTACAACCCTGGGAAAGGAGCAAAGGAAAACCTCTGCCAATGGACGGTTGGATACCCACCACTGAAACTGCCCACGGGATTCATAGCTGAGGTAAATGTTGAATGTCACTGAAAACATCGAGACAGTGTGTGACTGCAATAAAGAAGGCCAATGCTATGCTGGGGATTATTAGGAAGGGGATTGAAAACAGATCAGCCAATATCATAATGCCCCTATATAAAGCAATGGTGCGACCTCATTTGGAATACTGTGTGCAGTTCTGGTCACCACACCTTAAAAAGGATATTATAGCTTTGGAAAAAGTGCAGAAAAGGGCAACTCGGATGATAAAGGGGTTGGAACACTTTCCCTATGAGGAAAGGTTAAAGCGCTTAGGGCTCTTTAGCTTGGAGAAACGACGACTGAGGGGTGACATGATTGAGGTTTATAAGATTATGCATGGGAAAGAGCAGGTAGAGAAAGAGGTACTTTTCTCCCTTTCTCACAATACAAGAACTCGTGGGCACTCCATGAAATTGCTGAGCAGTCGGGTTAGAACGGATAAAAGGAAGTACTTCTTCACCCAAAGAGTGATTAACACTTGGAATTCACTGCCACAGGAAGTGGTGGCAGCTACAAGCATGGACGGCTTCAAAAGGGAATTAGATAAGCATATGGAGCAGAGGTCCATCAGTGGATATTAGCCACAAGGTGTAGATAGGGACTCTGGGGCAAGTGATGCTCTGTCATCTTGGTGCTGGGGGGGGTCAACAGTGGGAGGGCTTCTAATGTCCTGGCCCCACTGGTGGACCTCCTGATGGCACTGGTATTTCTGGCCACTGTGTGATACAGAGTGTTGGACTGGATGGGCCTTTGGCCTGATCCAACATTGGCATCTCTTATGTTCTTATGTAAGGACCTCAACCCCAAGATCTACCCCTAGTCAATGGATCAAAATGGTTCTTGGTGTGACGGCTGACCAAGCAGCAGCATGTGACAAACAGAATTCTGCTGGAAGTCTAATACGGCAGCACTGCTGACACACCTGTATACCCAGGCCTGTTCTATTCTTGTCTTAAGGATATAGAGAGCTGGGATTCTGTAAGACGTTTAACTTTAGCACAGATTATTTAACTTGTATAAACAAGCTCAAGTGGATTAATCAGATTGTTCTCATTAGATTAAAACAAAAAAAGACTCCCTCCAGTAATTTCTGCTGATTCCCATCAGCAGCAGACGAAGTCACAAATTGAAATGAAGAAGAGAAAACCCAGAGGCTGGGAAGGAAAGCTAAATGCAAATGGTTGGATTATACTGTGGGGGGCGGGGGAGAAACATTTATATAATAGGGGGAAAATCTTATGAGGAAATGGATTGTATCATGGCAGCCAATGCCATAAATTCTCATTCGTTTTGTTCAGGCCTCACTGAAAACCCTGGATCTCTGAATAGTTAAGCTGTTGGGAATTCAGAAAATAATTTAAGAGCGGCCACAAGGAGCTGCCTAACTTTAGAATTCTTCTGTTACCACATCTCCCCCCCCCCTTTCACGCAAGGAGAAAATGGCAGCAGTGCATTTCTGAAGCCGCATTTCAGCTGTGCTGCCAGCAGAGGAGAAAGGAGGGAGAGAACACAGACTGCTAAATTCACTCCGCTCTGGAGTAGGAGCTTGGATTACGACACTTCCTATGAAGTCACTGCCACGGTCCTTGCACAAAAATGGAAATAATCTCCCTTCCGTTTTATGGCAAAGGCAACAGAACCTCAAAACCTTCTCTCTGGCCTCTCCTGTTCCTCCCAGTCTAAATCTGGATTGTAAACTACTTGAGGCAAGGACAAGCCTCTTGTTTACACTATTCTGTAAGTGCCGCAGGGGGGAGGCATATAAATAATAAATGAATAAGGTAGGGAAAAGACATCAGCAAGAGCATTTGATGATGGGTTATTCTGGACAAACACCAGAGTACGAAGAACAGTGCCCGTGTGTTTTCCCTTCATTCACTCCTCTCAGCTTCACTTCTCAGTCTGCCCAGAAGGTGGTTATGGGAATGATAGACCAGGAAGCACAAAAGCCGCCCCGAACCCTTTGCAAGACGGGAAGAATGTAAAAGCAGACGCTGGTGGTTCCGGCAGTAAACAAAAACATAATGAACCCGAACTCACCTGGAATCGGTCCCCCAGTGCATTGCGTAAATTTTAGCCAAGTGTCCCCGCAGTGTTCTTCTAGTGCGCATCTGAATACGACCCACTGGATCAATGTTGGCTGTGATCTGAAAGGGAGGTTAATAGTACATGTTGTAAGCTTAAACCACACACACAAAAATCACGTAACTGAGGAAATTTTTTAACCGTGCTACTCTTATTTCAGAAAACACACATAAAATAGCATCCTTCTTCTATAAACTAAACACACACACCCCCGACAAATTCAGAAAAGCATGACTGTGATGCTCTTCCCTAGTAGCCAACTAGCTATGATAGAACTATGATATGAGCCACTGCCAGTCTGAGCAGACACAATACTAACCTTGATGGACCAAGGGTCTGATTCAGTATAAGGCAACTTCATATATACCCTATAAAGAACCTAAGAGAGAGCTACTGAGACGGTGAATGGTGTGGGTTGGTTTTGGGTTTTTTTGCCTTTCCTAAACTGCTAAACTACTGGGGAGATTGCTTCGTGAGAGGACAGGGTTTGAGGGCGAGTGCCTGCTGGAAAGTGGCGTTTTTGTCCTGGGTCCGTTTGGGTCTTTTGTCTGGTCCATTGCTCAGTGAGCAAGGTCTGTTTGCCTGGGGCTGACTGCAGGCCCCACCCTCCGGTGTCGCTGCTGGGAGGTGGGAGCTGTGGGCCTCTGAACTGTTAAGGCTCCTCCCAGGCAGAAGCAGACACGAGCCGGGACAAAGAACCCAGGAGAGAGCTGCTGAGCAGGGTGGTTTTCTTTCTTTCTTTTGGTCCCTGTATCTCAAAAAGGACATTGCAGAGCTAGAAAAAGGTCAGAGTGTGAGACAGGATGACAGGTTAGATGGACCACTGCTCTGATCCAGCAGGGCTCTTCTTATGTTCTTAAGGTTGCCTATTTGTCAACTGTTTGGAGCAGGTCAACCCCGCTGGGACTATTACCTTTCACTCTTGACAGAATCTCACTTTCATTCATGCTCTGCACAGCACACAACTCTTGCAAAGCTTGGCCTTTCGGCTTGACTTCCTAAATACGTTTTTCTCTCTCCTCCATCCACTCCCTCTACCCACTGAAGCATCATGCACTTGGCACAAGTGGCCTCTAGCCCGTGGGGAAGATTATGCCACGATAAATGTGGTAGTCTGTAAGGTGTCTCATCATTCTTTGTGTGTGTGTGTGTGTGTGTGTGTGTGTGTGTGTGTGTGTGTAGGGTTTTGTAGGAGGAACAGTGGCCAAAAGAAATGTCCTCCTCCCATTATGTGGCCAAACAGTGTTAAAAGTTTGTCTGCTTGCCATGCCACAGTGAAATTCTGAAAAGTTTCCCTTACTCTCTCGATCACACCCCTCTTTTTTAATGTCAGCATAACAAAACTATTTAGCTAAAGCACGTGGGCAAAAAATCCCTGCTTCCTCTCGAAAACTGTCAAGGCAGCTTAGCAGGGCACAGGCTGTTTTCTGGATTTAGAATTCCTACACGATTGCCTCTCTCGGCTGTACGTATGCAGTACAGCTCTTAGAAGTTTGCCAGTCTTTATTACAAGCATATGTAAAATATGGAAACTATTCATTCAGCAATTTTTTTCCCTGTGAGCCTGTCAAAGACAAGCATTTCCCATGGAACCTGATGCAAAAAGGGCCTCACAGCTTGAAGCAAAGAAAAGTTTAGGAGGTTAAATCTAGATCCACAACTGCTACCATGGCAACTCTCTCTCACACATATACATACAGCTTTGGGGGAAAGAAACACCACAAACCACAGCTCAGCAGGCTAGCAAGGTAAAGCTGAACTCAAAACTGTTCCAAATAACAGCTTCATGCCCATCTCAGTCTATGGGGTGGTCTGATCCACTGCATTAAAAAAATTTCTGACGGCCTTCACATTGCGGGTCCCAGAGGCATCAGGCTACTGTTCAAATTCAGAATAAAAACTGCAGTTTTTAATCGTGTGAATGCTACTGCTGGAAAAGCAACATACACAACATGATATTAAGACTCCAATGAACTAGAGATGGGTGAACTCCCTCACAAGGTCAGACTCTAGCTCAAACAAACAGAGTTATTTGAGGATAAAATCAATCATAACAGCTTGTTTGATCTGAGTTGCAATCTGAGCTGTTCAAGAGCTTGGAGCACCATGGCACATCCAATGATGTCACAAGAGGTGCTACAGGATGCTAGGAGCCCCCCAAATCCCTCCTCCTCCTTTCTTTCACCTGTGCTGCAGGAGAGGGATGTGATGGCGGCGGCAAAGAAGAGAGCAGCCTTGCCGCAGTTGCTCCGTTTTGCTTGCTCCCTCACTGAATACATTCTGAGAACTGTAGCACTGAGAATGCCTGATTATTAAAAGTAAGGTGTCTTGGAACTACAATTCCCAGGATACACTGGAAGGTAGGGATGGGAGGAGTAAAGTAAGATGAAGGGACGACCTGCAAGAATTCTCTCCACTCTGGGCTGCCTCGCTTTGCAACTACACTGCTCCCCCTCAGAAGGGCGGTTTAAGCTTGGATGGGCAGGAGAGGACCCCCTGGCTCAATTTATCATTCGAGCCAAACAGAATTTCAGGAACTGGGAAGCTCCTCTCACTTTGAAGACTGACTTTCCAAGCTGCTGAAGGCCATACAAACAAGATAAAAGGAGTAACAGAGAATATCTGTTATGAAGCTTGAAAGAACCTTCTGCCACATAGAGGCCTGGTAACTCCAAGAAGAGGAAATGTTTCTGGACACGTACATCATAGTTCTAGCATTACATTTCTATTCAACTTCAGACACGGGCATACCCCTACATCCAATATTAAGTGTGTACCAGCATATACATTGTGCTCCCATTCCCACAACCATGGCTAACAGATAGATTCCAACTTTCACCAGTTTTGCTGACAACCTCCATTTTAAAGCAGACTGAGTCTCTTTTAACAGTATATACCGGTCAGCATTAATATGGATTAAGATCGGTGTTGATATAGGGGAAGTATGGGGGAGGAGGCAAAATATACACTCAGGCGTGTAATAGCCCACAAGCCATGATTGAAAGATAAACAGCATTATACTGCCCTACCAGTAACATGGTTAAATGGCCCTTAGGCCTGGTTCATACATGCAAGAGAATAAAGCAACGGACTGCACCACTTCAGCCTGGTGCAGCCTTATGTTATAAACTTCCTGCAAACAGAAAACCAAAACAGCAAGCAAAGAGAAGGGGGCAGGACCTTTGTATTGACACAAAGCTGGAGACCCACCACCTGTACTCCGAAGAGACACAGTTCATTCTAGCACCTCAGGAGCCTGCTACCATTACTTCCCCATTCCCCTGCCTGTGTGAACCAGATGTTACTCAGTGGTAAATGAGGCTTACCTGAGCAGAATTTATTACTGCGTAGGCAGGACTACCTGCTGTTGAGAGAATGTAACAAGGGGTGCACGTAATACCTCGAGACATATTCCTTTGAGAAAAGTTAATAGGTAGCTTTAAAAATAATTAATTGCTTTCCTAAACAGCAGATAATGCTTTTGACCTTGTTTAAAATAGGGATAAGAAAGAAATTTACCTGGGCCAATGTAGCATCAGCACATGCTTTCCTAGCATCCTGGAAAAAAGGGAAAATTAAGAGAGATCATGTCAGAGAATGGGAAATTGAGGACATTAAAAATACCACTACAAAGGAGGTCTTTTTAAGAAATGAAGATGCCTAGCTGATCCTTTTTTAGGTAAGGGTAAAGGTTCCCTTGTTTGAAAGCCAGTCGAGTCCGATTCTAGGGTCGTGGTGCTCATCTCCGTTTCAAAGCCGAAGAGTCAGCGCTGTCCAAAGACATTTCCATGGTCATGGGGCCAGCATGACTAAACACCAAGGTGCACGGAACGCTGTTCCCTTCCCACCGAAGTGGTACCTATTTATCTACTTGCAATTTCTTGCTTTTGAACTGCTAGGTTGGCAGGAGCTGGAACTCACTGCAGCAGTCGGGTCTCGAACTGCTGAACTACCGACCTTCCACAGCCTGCAGTTCTGCGTCTTAACCACTTAAAAGCAGTGAGGGACAATCAGCATGACAAAGAACTCATGAAAATGCAAGGACACTTCAGAAGAGGACATCTTGAATAGGCTACAATTTATAATCCACCAGGAATTTGCAGCAGAAATGAGTAGAAATGGAACCACCCCCTTTGACATCTTTCTCTCCCCCCCCCCCAACCATTTTCAGCTAGGAAAAGCTAAACGCTGAAAATGGAAGTCATCAGCATTGTAATAAACAAAAGTATCACAGCTCAGAAAATACATCCTGCTGTAACCAAAGCTAGAAAGAGACAATTTTTTAACAATTTTTTACCCTGTGTCACCATACAACATTATGTATTACCTTACATAGTTAACAGAACATCTTTTAAGAGAGCGATGGAGAGCCTAGCACAATATTTTAAACCTGTAATAAGGAAAACATTTTGGAAGAGTCCTTTCTAATTTTTCCAGTAGAAAACATGTCCTCGGGGAGAAGCACATGGGGAAAGAGGGCCTGTTTCATCCACAGTGACTTAAGTTGTCTAGAAACAATTGCCAAGTTGTATTTCTCAGTCAACTCTACTGTTTTTAGTTGAAACATAATTATGGAAAACGTAACGGACATGAAGATCTCACAAAGGCTATAAGCAGGATAATCTCTGTGTGAAATCCCTGTCCCTGGGCACAGATCCAAACATCGCAAAGTACATAAAAGCTGTATTGTCCTCATTTATACAATATTTTATATACAATAAATTAAGTCTCCTTCCCAAACTGTATCTCTTTACAGTTGCAACCACCAGGGAGTGTGCCACAACAGACTTCTACGCAGCTTAACAGAATACAATTCAGTATTCTATCTTAACTGCCGTGCGCTGCTGCAAATAAACTTACGGGACGCCTTATGGTGATGCAAGCAGTCGTCACGAAACTGTGACCACCAGGACTTTAAATGGGTGGAATGTTTGGGAATTCTCAGCTCTTCTGTCCTCTAGTGATCCTGTGTTTGGATAAACGGTGACATGTAGAAGCTCAAGCACAAGGCGTTTATCAGTTTTATCTCCAACCTTCCCCTCACCAGAGGCTCAGGAAGGCATGTAGAGGCTTCCCCCCTCCTCCATTTTATCCTCACAATCAACCTGTGAGGAAGGTGAGGCCGAGGGCGCATGCATGAGTGGGTGTTCTAACCTGGGTTTCCTCAGTCCAACACACAAACGGCCAAAACGTATTAGCTGTTCGCAATGCTCCCCCTAAGCTGTGGAGTCTGGTGAGCAAAAATTCTACTTTGTGAGCTACTGGCATGAAAGTTGTGAGCAAGCGATTTGGCTACCGCATAGATTAGCTTGCTCTGGAGCCCTCCTTCCTGAGCGAAGACAAAAAATGTGTGAGCCGGAGGCTAAAAACCTGTGAGCTAGCTCACACTAACTCAGCTTAGAGGGAACACTGGTTGTGAGACCTGAGTGTAGCTACCATGGAAGGATATCACTCACTACTTAATGTGAAAAGAAGAAGAAGAGAGAAGAGATTGGATTTATACCCCGCCCTTCACTATCCAAGGGAGTCTCAAAGAGTGGCTTATAAACTCCTTTCCCTTCCCCTCCCCACAAAAGACACCCTGTGAGGTAGGTGGGGCTGAGAGAGCTCTGACAGAAACGGCTCTTTTTCAAGAACAGCTGTGCCAGAACTATGGCTTGCCCAAGGTCATCCAGCAGGTGCAAATGGAGGAGTGGGGAATCAAACCCAGTTCTCCCAGATTAGAGTCCACACACTTAACCACTACACCAAACTGGCTCTATCCTCAGAGCTAGAACCTATACGTGAACCATGTATTCCTGGACATAAATTCAGCTTTCTAAGCAATGGCTCAAAAGTATTTTTGGCCTCCTAACTGCAATTCTTTAATTTCCACTCTATGGGAATGATTCCTTAAAAGGGGGGGGGGAGAACGGGAGACATCAGCAGATTGCACTTGCCTTGTCAGTAAAAGGACGGGTTTCATTATTTATCAAGAGACAAAGATAAATGTGGTAAAACAGTGCAAACCACTGCATCTTAGGCAATCATTACCTTTATTGCCTCTCTATGAATGTCATATTCTTTGCCCTGACATAAAGAACCTCCAAGCATCAATGGGATGTTGGGACAAATGCAGCACAAAGTTACCGAGGAACGGACGAGGTGGATCACACAAAGACATCACAAGCACCACGCAAAATGGACTTTCCAACTCTCAGCTTCCTTGCCCAACTCCCACTAAGTTCACTGGTGCTTTTGCAGGAGATGCTTACTGTGAATTGTGCTTATAGTCAATTTCTGCATAGGTCACCTCACAATTAGACACGGAAACCAAAAACCCCACCCGCTCAAGAACCTCTGCTGAACTCTAGTCTCTCCTCAATGTACCTCAAGCTGTGCCGTGTCTTTGCTCTTACTTTAAACAGACAGCCGCACAGGAAAGCAAAATACAGAAAATCTCCCTGCTGGAGCCAAAACCTTTCATTATGTTTAAAGAAATTTAAAATTAATGAAGGCCGGAAGACATGGATATTAATTTCTTCAGCTAGTTATGTATACAATGGCTGAATAATTTGTGGCATGTTCCGCAATCATCATTTATGCGGATGGATTTCACATTAAGTTATTTTATTTAGCTTACACGAGGGGGTGGGGTAAGATGTTACGATAATTACATAGGCTTGTTTTGGAGAATATACTCGGGGTTATAATGGTTAGAAGAGGGCTTTATTTAGCTTCACAGACTCCAAGCTTTTACTCCTATATCCTCTCGACCCAAGTCTCCTCCAACAAATCACTCTTACTCTGCTCCAGTCTGTGTCAACAAAATTTTACATTGCATACGAAACAGGTTTTTAAAAAAGCCTTCGTAATGTACGCCTATGTGTGTGCGCGCACATGCGGGTGCATTAAGTGCCAGTCAAGCCACTTCCAACCCATGGTGACCCTACGAATTAATGACCTCCAAAACGTCCTACTGTTAACAGCCTTGCTCAGGTCTTGCAAACCGAGGGCCCTGATGGAACCGATACATCTCGTGTTAGGTCTTCATCTTTTCCTCCTGCCTTCAACTTTTCCTAGCACAACTGGCTTTCCCAGTGACTCTTGTCTATCATCATGTGACCTATGATAGCCTCTGTTTAGTCATTCTGGCTTGTAGGGAGAGTTCAGCTCAGTGATCTTCAACATCTCCAGACCCAAGACCCATCCTTCAACGCCCAGGCAGCAGCAAGGAACCCACTGAGTTGTATGCATGTAACAGGAAATAACATGACAGAGTGATTAACACTTGGAATTCACTGCCACAGGAAGTGGCGGCGGCTACAAGCATGGACGGCTTCAAAAGGGAATTAGATAAGCATATGGAGCAGAGGTCCATCAGTGGCTATTAACCACAAGGTATAGATAGGAACTCACAGGCTGGGGCAGGTGATGCTCTGTATTCTTGGTGCTTGGGGGGGGCAACAGTGGGAGGGCTTCTAATGTCCTGGCCCCACTGGTGGACCTCCTGATGGCCCCTGGTATTTCTGGCCACTGTGTGACACAGAGTGTTGGACTGGATGGGCCTTTGGCCTGATCCAACATTGGCATCTCTTATGTTCTTATGTTATGTTGACAGGAAAAGGAGCCCCACCTTTGTTAAAAAGGAATCCGCTTCACCGAGTGACCTCATCTCACTACCTGCTGGTCTTCTCAGTGCGTGTGCAATAAGAGGCAGGATGCGTAGCGCCTTTCTTCTCTATGCATAAAGACTAGCAGCAAATACATCCAAAAACAACGTTTGTGTTTTGGGTTTTTTTTTTAAAGAAACTCTATAAAGGCTTGGCGACGCATCCGATGGGGCCAATCCACAGGCCAAAGACCGCTGGTTTACTTAAAGGCTTCTGATCATAACACGGGTTTTGAGCGGTGCTCCCTCTAAGCTGTGGAGTCTTGTGAGCAAAAATTCTACTTTGTGAGCTACTGGCATTAAAGTTGTGAGCAAGAGATTTGGCTGCTGCATCAATTAGTTTGCTCTGGAGCCGTCCCTTCCTGAGCTAAGACAAAAATCTGTGAGCTGGAGGCTAAAAAACTGTGAGCTAGCTCACACTGACTCAGCTTAGAGGGAACACTGGTCTTGAGGCTGCATGGCCTAGGCTGCGTCTGTGCAGAGTTCTAGACTCCTCAGCCCATAATGAAAGGGAGACACTTCAACAGTATGGTAACCTGTCTGGCTATAACCTGGACAGGTTAAAGTTATAATTTCATATAGCTATATAATCTCATATAGCCAAACAGTATAGTAACCTGTTTGGCTATAACCTAGACAGGTTAAAGTTATAATCTCATAACACGTTTCAATAAAAACAGATAAAGGTATGTTCTGCTCTTCTTAACCACTTGACGTCCTGAGTCCTCATGAAAAAGGGGATGTGAATGTAAACATATTGTCGCAGGAGACCATGGAGGCTTAAGAATTCTGGGGGAGCCATTTCCCCGTCCCTGCTGATGCTACCACTGACAGTCAAGAAGCTGCTGAGCTCCTACTGGTAACTGATTGCACTCCAAAACTTTAAAAGGGGGGCAGTCTCTCTTACTTATTTTTATTTATTTATTGGGATTCTTACCCCACCCTCCCCGCAAAACGGGCTCTTGATATTTATTGTCAACAGTTCAGAAAGCTAAAATTCAGTTTGACGAGGCCCTCACTACTAAGTTGCAAAGGCCTTTTATTTACAGAAAGTCTGCAGGGTCAGATGTTTTCCTAGTTTATTTACACTATTATGGTTGCCAACGAAGTTTGAGGAGGGGGGAAACAAACATTTAGAGTCTTGTTTCATAAAACACCTTTCAGAAACTGAACATAAGGGACCTACACTGAAGCCACCCCTCTGAAAAGTTACTTCTCACATGGGGTGGTACAACCTGGCAGGAAAACAAAAAAGGCCATAAGCCATATAGTCAAGGCAAACACAAATATACAGTTGGGTAGCTGTGTTGATCTGAAGCAACAGAACAAAGTTTGAGTCCAGTGGGACCTTTTAAGACCAACAAAGCTTGATTCTGGGTATAAGCTTTCATGTGTATTCACACTTCTTCAGATACACTCGAATAGAGTCACCAACCATTACATATAGGTGGGGGGATTAGTTGCCAGGAAGGGCTAATTAGAGTCAAGATGCATAAGTAACTAAGTGATAAGTATAGCTAAGATTGGATTAAAGCAGTTGGCAAAACCTGTGAATAGCAGGAAATTAGCATACAGATAATAAAAGAGTTAACGGATACAAGTACTGAGTATGTGTAGTGAAATAAGAGCCTGATATCTCTGTTAAGTCCTAGGGGTTCCATTGTCCTGAGTGTTGTAATAACTTGCAATTCACCAATCTCCTGTTCTAGTCTGGACACTGGTACCAGAGCTTGCAATAAACCCAGATGCCAACTATGCTGCCACATACACCCAGACAACAGTCACACCAACTACACCATCTCAGGCTCATTCACTTGCTCATCTTCTAACACTGTATATGCCATTAAATGCCAACAATGCCCTTCAGTTCTCTACATAGGGCAAACAGATCTAACCCTACACCAAAAGATAAATGGCCACAAATCTGACATCAACATCACAAAACTGAGAAACCTGTAGGAAAACATTTCAACCCCCCAGGACTCTCCCGGGGGAGGGGGGGCTCACAGTAGCTGTCTAAAATGGGAGATTGCTGAATTACAAGTTATTACAATGTTCAGGACAATGGAACCCCTAGGGCTTAACAGAGATACTGGGTTCTTTATCTCACTACAAAGTCACTCACTTCTCACATCTGTTTGTTAACTCATTTATTATCTGTATGCTCATTTGCTGCTACTCACAGGTTTTATCAACTGTATTAATCCAATCTTAGCTATACTTATCGCTCAGTTGCTTATGTATCGACTCCAATCAATCCTTCCTGGCAACTAACTCCCCCTGCCTATAAGTAAGGGTTAGCAAAAGTCTGTTTCAATGTAGCTGAAGAAGTGTGCATGTACACAAAAGCTTATACCCAGAATTAAACTTTGTTCGACTTAAAGGTGCCACTGGGTCCCAACTTTGTTTTGTAAATATACAGTGAAAACACTGTATATGTACATGTACATGACCTACAACTTTAATGCTAATTTGACAAGATGACCTAGTTTTATTTGTTTGCACATGCTTTTGACTACGAGGAAAGAAATCAAACTTATTTACACTGTAGACTTTTATTATGTGCCATGACTGCAAATAATATGGCTTAACCTATCTTCTGAAGTGTCTGCGAGGGAACCCATTCACACAAAAAAGAATCATATTAGCTCATGATAATGTTTTTTTAACAGTGGATTTACATTTAAATAGCATTGTCATAGGCATGAGACTGCAGGGCGGGAAAGGTAAAACTCATTCAGACACCTATTCCTTTGAGACTGCTCCAAATAAAAAAGAAAAGACAGTCTCTCAACTATTATCACCAGTCTGGAAAGCTAACATCCAGTTTGCCAGCACTCTGACTACTTAGTCCCACAGGCTGGCTTGCCTCACCTTCAATGTTAACCTTACACAATGGGTTGATTCCAATTAATTTTTTCACTCCTCCATAGAGCAATAGGCAACAGACTGTGGAAGGGGCTTCCAGAAAAATGGCAGAGGAGAGGGGGAACCAAGGCAAAGGAAAAAGCAAATTCTGGAGAAATTCCACAGCACTTTAGGATAAAGAAGGAATGTATGAGAAGACAATCAAGAGACTGGGTGGCAAAAGGAAGCTGACAATTGCTTGAAAAGTGTGAATAGTGGGTGGTGGAGCCAAAGAGAATATAGGGTTGAGGCTACCTTCATACGAAGCCTGGAAACAAATAAGCAATAATGTTATTGGCAGAAAGGAAGTGGACGAGTAATAAGAGACGAAACCAAAGAGGTCAAAGAGTTGCTAACTTAATGGAAGATTTCTACCCCGCTATCATTGTAGCATTAAAACCTGGCAGCCCTAAGCGGGAGTGGGTCAAGGGCCAAGAAGTGGTGGATGCTGGTGGGACTGAGTTCACGCTTTGATTAGAACTCTCCAGCCTGTCTGGATGCCGGCCTGCAGTGCCTGTAGTCCGGAGGGCTCCTGAAAGAGACTTCCTGCGGAGCCCCTTCTCTTTTGCAAGCCACAAAGCCTGATTATGCCGACTTCTGAAATAAGAGCATTAGGGCTGTAAGCCTCAAGACTGTAAATCACTGTGCATGTTACATGCTATTCTTCCTAGACCAAAGCATCGAGGACAAACGAACGTAGACGTCTGCACAAGACTGGGACTTGCACTACACTATACTAATCACAGTGAAACAGCGAAAGAAGTAAATAACAAAAAAGGTGGAATAGGGCAGGTGCTGAAAATACAACCCAGAAGTTTTGAAGCGGCAGTAGATACATGCACATTAGTACTAAGAGAGTACACCAACCCAGCCTCGGATTTAAAACAAGACAGAACCTCATGGCGGAACTACATACTCTGATTTGGTTTTTCAGTTGCTCCGCCTCCTGGCGTAACTGGTCAAGTTCACTCATCTTCCCGTGCTAAAGGTGTACTTCTCTGACACCCCTCAGTTGCTCAAAAATCTGGAAATTAAGGAGAGAGAGAAACCAAAATGGTGAGGTCAGTTGCTTAAACATTACACAAACACACATAAAGCCTTACGGACTAAGAGACAGAAATATAAAGGCTTAAAACACAGACAAAACTGTTTTATGTTTTTCATTAAATAATTTTTTTCTGCTCCAAAGTACTTTCAATGCAAACTAAGAAAACTTTACTCTGTGACCTGTACTTATTTCCTCCTAATTTGCATAGCTTATTCTGATTTTGGTGGTAGGAAGGGAAGAGCTATGAAAGGTGTTGCACTTCAGCCAAATTACCACAGGAAATCTGTTCAGTCCTTTTGTTCCTGAGGTTATGGCAGGAATTCCCCACATGCTTTCCAGAAAATCTCTGCAAACATAAAGGCTGGAAAGATACTTTTAAAGGAACTCTCAAAAGTTAAAAATACAAAGCCATTTGCTGTGCTTTGGAATTACAAACTTCAAGAGGGTGTTAGACCGCACACTTTAAAAAGATCATTAATACAGTCATATCACAGAAAATAAAGTGCCTGACTTCATATCTCATGTGTATTTTATTTTGTGTGAGGGAGAAATACATAATTAATTAAGAAACCAAATAATGTAGATGTTTGTATTTCACAAATGGGCAATACTGTAGACTTTTTTCTACCGTTTTAAGATTAAGAGAGGTTGTTTTTTATATAGAAAAAATGTTTTTAAATGAAGGCCAAGAATTTCAGGAGCTGATCACCACACCCCCATCTGACTGCAGCAAACACGTAGCCCTGGTCATAGGCTACGGTTTGTAATACTTTTGAGATCCCTTGCTGCTCCACAAATCAACATAAGGATTTAAAAAAAAAAAATATCAGGGAAGACATTAACAATAGGAGATTCCAAACAATAGGCGATGTTCTGAAGCAACTGTGCACCTCTCTTAAAGCCAGCTGTCACCCCTCCCCAGGGCTATTTTTGGGCAGGAACGCACAGGAACAGACTTCCGGCTGGCTTCCAAGTTGGCCACGCCCAGCAGGAACTCATCAGCATAATAGGCCACACCCAACAGCAGGAACTCATTAGGATTGGCTACATTAGGGGTGTGTGGCCTAACATGCAAAGGAGTTCCTGCTACAAAAAAAGGCCCTGGGTGTTGACAACAAACAAGGTAAACAGAATAAGAAGCAAAAGGTGGGTGTGGCTGGATGAGCACACTTCTGGTAACATGGGGGTGTGGCCTAATATGACAATGAGCTGTGCTGTCATGGGTGTGGCCTATTATGCTAATGAGTTCCTGCTGTTGGGTGTGGCCTATTATGCTAATAAGTTCCTGCTGGGCTTTTTCTACAAAAAAAGCCCTGCCCCTCCCTCCTCAGCATCACAAGAAACCATGGCACAGTCTCCAAAGCTGACTCTGAAAAACAGTACTTGCATGATTCTGCCCTATTACTCTAAGTGCCTGAACTCTGTCCTGTCTTGTGGTAGTCCAGCCGAAGGGATTGATAACCCAAGTCCCCTCACAAAACAAGCCTGAGAACAGCCCTCTGGAACCTGGAACCAGTTTGCGAGCATTTCCACTCCTCATCTTCAAGGAACAGAACACCAAAGACAAGGAGAGTTCAGTTTTGCTTGCCCAATTTTATTCTGATCAAGGCCATTAAACTGAGGACACTCAGTTCTCCCCCCCCCCTCCCCAAATCCTCACCAGCCTACATCTCAATTGAGGCAAAGGGGGTGATGGTCTTACTGGCACAAGTGTGCAGGGCTGGCAGCGAGCCTGTGATGCAAAAACATCAGATGGGGGTGGGGAGAGAGAAGATTTAAGTTTAGAAGAGGTTATGCAAAAGTGCCTATTTTGGGCAGAAATACCACCCACGTTGCAATACCAGAAGGCTGGAAAAATGTTTCAGATTCCCAGGCAACCTAGCTCCTGAAGTCTTTCCATTCCTGCAAAGAGACAAGATTGTTGCTCTCTATACACTGATCACCATCGGCCCAGAAAAGCAATTTATGCCCCTTCACAGGTGATATGGGAGGAATTTTGGTTCTGCATTTAAAAGCACCGTTTAACCTTAAGTTGTCATAGGACAAAAAAGCACTATTCCAGGAAACTAAAAACCCTCGCCACAGAGTTTGGATTAGGACTGCAGGCTGTTCTGAAATCAGAAGCTCAGTTTAGGACACCTCTAAGTAGCATAAACATGGATACAAGGGGCTTACTACACTTGACAATCTAGGTATACACACACGTACTTTCCTCCCCGCCGTCAAGTAGCAGCCGACCTATGGTGATCATGTAGGATTTTCAAGGTAAAGAGGTGGTTTGCCCATTGCCTGACTCTCAGTAGCAACCCTGGACTTCCTTGGTGGTCTCCTATCCAAGTAGTAACCATGGCTGACCCTGCTTAGCTTCTGAGACTGGGGTAGCCTGGGCTATCCAGGTCAGGGCAAAGTAAATATAATTAGGAAAGTAAATATAATTAGAAAATCCCCATAAAAATAACTTAACCCTTCAAGTATAATGGTAGAAACTGGGGGGAAAGAAACAAAAAAACTTCAGTGAACAGAGTTGGAGTGATCAATTTTTCAAAATCCATTCAAAACAGAATGGACACTGTTATTTAGCATAAAGAGTACTGCATTGGAGACCATTTATATAACCCCTCCCAGGCAGCAGGGAGAGACGTAGTTAGCTTGTAACCTTCTGCCTTGCAGTAAAGGTAAAGGTTTCCCTTGCTCGAAAGCCAGTCAAATCCGACTCTAGGGGGTGGTGCTCATCTCCATTTCCACGCCGAAGAGCCAGCGCTGTCCAAAGACATTTCCGTGGTCATGCGGCCAGCATGACTAGACACCAAGGCACACGGAATCCTGTTACCTTCCCACCGAAGCAGTACCTATTTATCTACTTGCAATTTCTTGCTTTTGAACTGCTTGGTTGGCAGGAGCTGGGGCCAGAGATGGGAGCTCACTCCATCACGAGGCACTTGGGTCTCAAACTGCCAAGGGGAAGGTCCAAGATAGACCTTTGCAGCAGCAGGCATTCTGCTCCTATACAGGAGGAGTCACGGGATCCGCTAAGTTTCCCAACCATGTACCAAAACGTTCGTAAGGTTGAGTTGACAGGTCCCAGCCATCCCTGCGACTCCTCCCCCCCGCCCAATGCACACTCCCATCAGCTTCTCCCCCCACCTAACTCCCCACTACAACCTCAAATTCTCCTGACAGGTTAGCTAACCCACTTTTTTTTTTTTTTTTAAACCAAGTGAAGATGCAACCGTTCTAGCCGAAGTAAGCAAAACGACCAGTCCTAGCACTGCTTAGAATACTTCCTTACTGTCTTGATTTCACCAGTGGGAATTTTCTAACTGAAGCACAAGTTCTGAGACTGGTTCCTTCTACAATTCATCCATGAAACCAATAAGCATCAGCCACGTAATTCTGATTAAGTCAAAATTAAGCCCTTACAGAGTTTGAGTTTTGATGAAATTTGGCTTGGGCAAAAAAAAAACCCTGTCGCCTTCCAATCCATATCTGATGAAGAGAGCTCTGACTCTCAAAAACTTATTCCCCTGCCCCCCCCCCCCAATCTTGTTTGTTTCTAAGGGGGCCCCACCGGGCCCGAATCCAGCTGTTCTACTGCAGACCAACACAGATACCCTCTGAAACTATGCCACCTTTCAGTTACTGAAGGGGGAGAAGGAAGCAACTAGATCGTACACATTCTCCACAAAGCCCCAGAGCTTACAGGATACTTTCCTTGCAAACCTCCAATTCAATTTCAAAAGCGCCTGGTACAATTTTCACATGGGCCCCGATCTGTAGTGCCAGTCTCCTGGTTTCAGTGTCATTTTTAAGCCTTATAATCTCTTGGCTGAGCTTGGTTACTCATTCAGATCCAGTTAAGATGAAACCTACATAACTGTCCATTTAACTCATACCTAACTCTGCTCTTCTTAGAGGAGTCTATTGTTTCGGAATACCAGGGAGTGGGGCTTCAACATTAGGGAACCATCAAGTGCCAATATTGATGGTCCTGGTCCCACACAACATGGGATATAGACAGCTCCATATGATCCAGTTCTCTGATGCCCAATATAAGTTGTTGCAGTAGAACCTTACTGCACACCTCAGCACCACTCCTGCTCTAGAGATTTTTAAGGCCAAACCAGGTATTGGTTTTTTCCACAGATGCTAATACCTTAAATGAGACCGATGGGGCCAACAGCGGCACATCAGGGCCAGTCCAGTGGTAGGAGTGGCACGGCTTAAAGCCCCTGCAAGCATAGCCCTGTGTGCATATTCACTCGGAGTCTCAGAGCGGCTTACAAACTCCTTTCCCTTCCCTTCCCCACAACAAACACCCTGTGATGGGGCTGAGAAAGCTCTTTCGAGAACTGCTCACTATACACTCAACTGCTCACTTAGTGGAGCTGCTTATTTAGCATTCAAGGACACAAGAAATATGATGATGGAGGAGGAGGAGATTGAATTTATACCCTGCCCTTCAGCCAGTTTGAGACAGTTTGGTGTAGTGGTTAAGTGTGCGGACTCTAATCTGGGAGAACCGGGTTTGATTCCCCATTCCTCCACTTGCACCTGGCTGGGTGACCTTGGGCGAGCCATAGTTCTGATAAGAGCTGTTCTTGAAAAAGAGCCGTCTCTGTCAAGAGCTCTCTCAGCCCCGCCTACCTCACAGGGTGTCTCTTGTGGGGAGGGGAAGGGAAAGGAGATTGTAAGCCGCTCTGAGACACCTTTGGGTAGTGAAGGGCGGGGTATAAATCCAATCTCCTCCTCCTCTTCTTTTTCTTCTTCACTCGGAGTCTCCATAGCTCCAGGCAGAGGGATGATACAACAGCATGCTCACCGAGACGCTGCTGCTTTCCAATTGCTGCGGTGCCCCCTGTAGAACGGACACTGCAGCACAAGACTACCCTGTCCCTGTTTTACCGGTCTCCCCAGGTCTTCCAAAGGTTGTCAGACGAGGGGGAAAGCCTGCTTCCTGACCTCACTGTCCCAACGCAGCAATTTTAGATGTCCTTGTTCCACATGAGCTCTCTATTACTGGCACACAAAACCCCAGGTTCTCTTTACCCCAGGAGTGCTTATAACGAATTTCGTAATCAGCCAAGAATCAGTGTCTGGCTAACTGTGAATGAGGTTAACACACGGGCTGACGGGAGTTAACAGGAAAACAAAGTCAAGGTGCCTGCAAACTGGAACAGGACTTAACATTTTCTCCTGCCTTACCTTCTTTTACGCAAGCTTGTTAACTAGTCCCAAACCTTCTTTCTCCCTCCCAATACACTACAGTGTGACTAAGCCACAGAGGCGTCGTCTCTGTCCTTAAAAAGTCGGGGTCACCACGGAAAGCAGTAAGTTCTGCTTCCAATCCAAACGTATTCCCATGCGTATCACCCCCCCCCCCACAACTGAATGACTACCATTCACTCCTGTGCAGACCCAGGTACTGCACTTCCATGTCGTCGTTGTGGAGGGCAAAATATCACCTTCCAACCTGGAGTGCCACATTATGCTTTCCCCTCCACAAACATCCAAACTGTTATAATGGGAGACTGCGGCAGTATTTTATACCCAGGTGGAATCACAGCTTCCAATGCAATAAATTTTTGGCAGGATTGTCGAATTTCCCACAAGCCATATTAAAAGATGACTGGTATCATCATGACTACCAGAAGGAGAAAAGCTGCTTCATGCAAGGTCACCTGATTAACAGAAGCCTTTCTAATCTATTGTCCAACTTCAAATCCTCTTACTGATCAGTGGCCTACACATCAGCACACGTACACTGACCTGGCCTCTATGAAGGCCTATACCCAATTTCGGAGGTTAGGCAGGTGGCGACTGTCCTGGATGTGAAATACCCTCTCCCGCAAACCCACCCCAAGGACAATCACTTAGCTCCTACCTTGTTGCCTTTTAGTGACCAGGTCAAGACCATTCTGTTCTCATGGGCCTTAATGGCTTGGTTGATTTGTTTCTTGCTGCTTCCACTAACACACAAGTCTACTGTTTTATCATCATCGTACTTTTATTGTTAGAAACTGATTTTACTGCCCTAGTTGACCCAGGTTGCTTTCTTTGAGAGCTGTCCTGAAAGCTTGTTTTTTTAACCGAAAAGCAGAGTATAAACACTTTCTATAAATAAAAGGATGTCTTCTGCTTCAACTATGTCCTTATTCAACAACTGGTAAAACAACAACTTACTGGAGAGGGAACAGCTCAGAGGAAACATGCGTGGCTTCTGGAAACATCACTCTCCCTCCTCTCCAGTGTTCTTGACAAAGCCAAAACTGAGCAGGTCAGCTTCTCAGATGAAAAGCAGACTATGGTAAAACAAGGATGCATAGCCGGAATGGGCTGGGCATGTGTGCACAAGTTTCTTCAGGCTACCCCAAAGACGACGCTAGAACCTTTTAACGTCTTTTAAAATTTCATTTTGTATCTAGCCACATTGCTATCGAGGAGAAATCTCTGCCTGATTTCAATCTTCAACACTTGGGAAGAGCAACAGGGCTCTCTCTCATTCTGGCTCTCAGCAACACTCAGGTGGAGGGAGAGAGGGACTCCTTTACTAATCCCAATATGCCAAGAGTGGCTCACCGAAAAGACAAGTCGCACACAAAGCACAAGCGTGCAAAATGCTAGCGTGTCATCAAAACTGCACAAGAAGCCAGTATCTGCCACACCTTCACAAATACGCCAAGAGCGTACACACCAGTCTTTTTGATTAGGATACTGACAGTGCAATCCTGAACAAAGCTACGCCTTTCTATGTCCGATGAAGTGAACGTGCTGAAAGAATGCAAGTCCACTTGGAAATGAAGAGTAAAGTTAATTTTCTGACATCCGCATGCTTTACCTGCTAGACTCCGATCTATCCTGCAATAATATTGCTTCTTGCCATGAAACACCAACATTGTGATTTTGCACCTCTGATTGTTTATTTTTAAACTCTGTGACCCAACCAAGAGCAAATCAGGCCTTGCCTTGGAGTTTGCTGAACTGTTATAACACTTAGCAGAAAGGCTCGATGCACAAGCAACTCACAGTTCCTCTTTTTCCCCTGTATTTTGTCTTTCCTTGCACATCTTCCCCACTGCAAGGAGACAGGCGGGCACCGAGAGCATATGTAATGCAGCCCATGCGCCTGCAGTGAAAAGTGAAAATGGCAAGTCACTTCACTTGTGCTCTCTGCTCTCCTGACTCTCTGTGATGTCTGAACAAGCTCCAAGACCAGGTTCTGTTGCAATGGAATGTTCTTTGGCAGGGTCAGGCTGAGGCCAACCTTGGACTACAGACAGCAGCATGGGCCAATGTTAATTGCTGGCACTGAGGCCACACAGTAGTCCTTGTCAGTACTGCAATGTCTTGTCCAACACAGACAAAACGCAGTTGTGTTTGTCTTCGCCCTTGGCTCTGCTTCCTGCGTTTTTAAAACGTTTTTAAAGCGGCTGCACATTATATTATTCAATAAGATTTCAACCCATTAAAAAATAAATAAATCTGCATCTTACTGGAGCCAACCTGGGCAGAACCTTTTAGAGTTCAAGGAAGGAGAATAAAAAAGCAATGCAACCAAGGCCCCATTTCCAGTAATGCCCATGCCCTATTCCATTTACACAGTCTACGGAAAAATAATTTAAAATATGTTATCTGTGGGTCAGCACTAAAGGTTTTCCAGACTTACATTTGCTCTCAGTACAGTGGAAAGCCAACTTCTACAGTCAAACATGTAACTGCTGAAAGAAAAAGAAACTTGGATCAGTATGTTAAAGCTCCAAACTGATAATATTCAAAAGATGTGAATACAAATTTACATGTATTTGGGCAGGTATTTTCCACCCACTAAATCACAGCATTTGATTCACTCACACGTTCCCTGCTCCCATCCCCCCAATTTAACAACAACTACAACAACAATAATGCCTTTAAAGGTCACACAGAAGTAAGCTGGAACAAGACACAGAATCTGAATATACGCTCACTACCCCAACCTTAACGTCTGGCTAAGAAGTTAAATATTGCCAAATAATGGCAAAGCATTTGAAAAAATTTAACAGAACTGCAACAAGGAAAAAAAAACTTACTGCCAACTACAAAATTCAAGTTAGCTATAAATAATTTAAATAAACTGTTTCATATCAACAGACCCCTAGCAATGTTGCTGAGATATAAATGTATGTGAAGCATGTTCAAGAACAGTTATTGGCTTTTATCCTGGAACCCCAATAGGATAGCAGCTCCAGTTACAGATTCTGTTTCAAGTGAAATTAAACAGAGACTACAGTCACACCCAGTAACGGGAAAGAAGTTTTCAAACACAGTTATACAGAAAAGCATAGGGTATCTGCTTCTGCAAGGCCGAGAAGCAAGGGGGCCCTCTCAAAGTAAGAAAGATGCCACTTACAGGAGGGCATGCTTGCCTTTGTAGAACTGTCAAATAATATGTTGCTGAAGGCTGAAAAATAATACGTTGGTGGTCAGAATGACAACAGACCTTTCACTGAGCCATGTCCCCAACCCTAAGAAATTCAGAACGCAACTCAACAAAACTCTCAAGAGTTTTTGTTACCTACTTCCTATTTCTTTAAGAAGAGATAGGTCTTTCCTTCTCAGTCACTTTTCTGTATTTTAAAATGGGTTGAGGGAGGTTTTATATAGAGAAAAAACCTACTTCAGTCAGTCAGCCAGCCAAAACCTTCATTGGCCATAGATTAAAAAAGGAAAAAAAAATCATAAAGACCACAATTTTAAAATATACAAAGACAATAATCCCACCAGAGCTTTAACCTTATATTCTCTAACCCTCATAGCAACAGAGAGAAACCTTGCCATGGCAAAGGTAATATGAGGGCGGAGAACTGACGGAAGGAAGGATACTAGTCTCTCTTCTGGGCAACTGTGCCTATTGATCAAAGGGGGCTGATTAGAATATCCTATATTTTGTTGTAGACTTCACAACTAAACAAGATGCAGGTCATCGATTCTGTTTTCCTGCTACTACATAGACAGGTCCTTTCAGGATAGGGGACATTTGCAAATTTACCATAAAGGATCGCAGATGGTAAAGCGTTGAAGCGTGCAAGCATATAAACTTGTCTTAATGATGGGGTTGTAAGCTGTAAAAAATAGGCAGCTTATTATAAGCCCATGTCCTGATGTTATATTGAACTTCAGAGGGGATCGGGTAATACCAGAACAGAGAGTTTGTTTTTCAGTGTCAAGGATCCTCTGCCTCAAAGTTCTAAATATTTGAAATCCGCCTAACATGAGCAGGGAGTCAAAGGAGATTCCAATAGATTGCATTTTCCTCAGTCCTGCGGTTGACCAATTAGATGTAAATGAGTCCGGCGGCAGCAGACGAGACACAGCTCTCAGATTCTGTTCTGAAGTAACCAGAAATTTAAGGTCGATAGCCAAGCTATGGTCTCTAGGAGGTGCTGTCCTGTCTCCAAGCACATGGCTGCATAATTTACGCAATCTGGCACTCCAAGGATACACCACAGAAACATTGCCTGGATCTGCTCAACAAGTTGATTAAAGGAGTCAATCCAGACAGGGATCCTATAAAGTATTTGGGATGCAACTTTGGCGTTGAAAACTTGCACAGTGCACGCGGGGACAAACTGATTGCCCGTCACATAGAAAACCTAGCAATTGTGGACAGGCTACACTCAGCCAGGTTTATTACTTGTTTCCTCTGGCCCGCCCACCTATTATTATACTGAAAGAGGACTCCCAGATATTTGAATTGTTTGACTAGGTTAACAACAGTTGTTTAGACGTCTACATTTAGAGTGAAAAAAGAACCAGGAAAAAATAA